CAATAAGCTGCCTAGACATACACAAAAGCCACCAAAATGCTGAAAACGTGAAAAGCATTTTCCCGCATCAAATCTTCAAATTTGATGCCATTATTGTGTTGCTTTTTTATGAACTGTGTCTGCTCAATTTACATGTGTGCGCTTGTGTATGTGTGTGTGTTTGTGTGTGTGTGTGTGTGTGTGTGTGTGTGTGTGTGTGTGTGGCTTAATAATAAAGTGATTGCCTACTTTGGGGCACAACCGCCGTTGGGCAGCGCCACGACCCCGGAGTGCTTCGACTTTATTAAATTATGCGCGTTTGATGCCACACAAATTCAGTTTTATTTAACTCGTATCATTTATAATTTAATAGCAATATCTGTAACATAGCAGTGAACATTAAAAATCGATAATCGACAGTCCGTAGTTGACCTCAAATATATACAATCGATTTTTTTACATACTTTTTAATGATATTTGAATCAAAGTTGGGTGCACTTATAGGAACGGGTACCAATAACTGCCAAGAATTCGAATGCAAGCAAGAAATACAGCTATTTAACTGTATCAGATACATACATATATATCTTTTATATGGCTATTAGGTAATTCTCTTAATGTACGCCACAGATTGTAGGCTTTTTGCTATTTGCTTTAAAAGATGTACCTCAGGCAAGGTTGAACATCTATCAAACTTCTCACAAAATACCATTCGCCACCACTTACCCGCCCACAACTTGGCAATTGTTTGAGTTGAGGCAAAACTAAAGAAGAAATATGGAAAAGATTTTTTTAATATATACATAAATTTTTCTTCATCTAATTTAATTGGAAAATTACAAATAAAAGGTTCAAAAGGCTACAAACACAAAACAATACAAGAATGCTTGGGATAAGAGGGATTGAGTAAAAAATGTGCTGTATCCAAGACTTAACATGCTTACATATGCCTGAAATGTTCTGCGTAGTTGATTATAATGCGGCCATTACCCTTTTTTAAGATTCCACTTTCAAATAATGTTCATAAAAGCAGATTGTGGTTCTTATAAATTTGAGATTGCGTAGGATATTCAAAGCTTGATTTTTATCATCAATCGAAGATGTCTTTAACTGTTTTTATACAAAATGTTTAAATTTAAGTATTCATGTTATACAGTGGCAATGGCAAAGGATAAATGGCACGAGCATTGCGTGGCATGGTAGAAATTTTTTTTTTATAGTAAAAAGTTTTGCTTATAGTCATGGAACACAACATATTTGCATATGCGAGGGCTCTTTGTTTAGTAAGCCAACAAAAGGGTACATGTGGCGTATGCGCAACATAATAAAATCCCCATATAAATGCAATACTCATGAAAACCGAACGCAATAAATGTTAAGTTAAAAAACAATGTTATTTTATAGATATTTAATTTAAGCTCAATTAGGCAGCCATTAAGCTTGTTTTGCCATTGAATATTATGAAAATTACTTTCAATTAAAATTACATGGGAGGCAATTGTAATTATAAATTACTTTTATTTAATTTCTGATTTGCGCTCCACAAGTTTGCATGAGATATTTTATGAATTAAGTTGATGCTTTTCTTACTTAAATATGCAATAACTGTTTGCAATTTGTGTACATGGCTAAGAAATTATACGCTAAGAAATGTTATGCATCAGCGGAGCATATTGCAAGCTTTTTATGTTTTAAGGCTTTCGTATAATAACATTTAAATTCAATTCTTTGAAGTTCAGTATTTTGTTGTTATTATTTTAATATTTTTAGGCCAAAGCTGGGTAAAAGAAACCCTCGCCGAATTTTCTATAGCGCATATATATATTTATAAAGATAAAACTTGATATGTATATAATAGATAATGTTGCGCAGGCCCCAACAAAATTCCCATTTTGTTAAAATGCAAATTAAAATATTTATGCAAATGCGAGGCAAAGAATACAATAAATTATGCCACAGCAGCGGAGAAAAAAGCCGAAACAAATAGGTAAGCAAGGTAAAGACGAAGCCAGACGAAAAACAAAACCAAATGAAGCGTAGCGACAGGCACGAAAACAATTACCTGTTACATGGAAAAGCCAATCTCTTTCGCATTATTATTATATTTGTCATAAATGTTGGCGTCTGTCACAATAATTTGGTGCCTGTAAACAAGTTTTTGACAAAAGAAGAAAAAAGAACCGCAAAATAAATGTATGTAGAAATAGAAAAGTTCGCTACAAAAATGGTGGCATAGAATTTTGTGACAATGTCGCAGCCAAAACGGAAGCCGGAAATATGCAAAGCCAGCGCGAGCTGAGCAAATGGCGAGTTGCTTGGAATAGCCGGACAATGGAGCTGCCCCCGCTGTCTGCCCTTCCTTCTTTCTCTTGGTCAAGTGGTTGATTTGCGGGTAGAATCGCATGATATTTAATTGCAATTTAAATTCTTTCACTTAAGTCGACTATTGTCTTTCAGTCAAGTTATTGCAGCACTGATTGCTTCATCTGGCCGCATTACCCATACGCCTTGTGTGCCACCTGCTATAAGCAGTTTGCCAATTAGCTGCCGTTTCAGCTGCTGCAGCTACAATAAGCGTAATAAGAACAACAACGGGAACAACAGCAAACAAGGCAACACATTTTAGCCGTCTGAAGAATTTAATTAATGCAAGTCTCGTGCGCTCTTTGAAATAATATCCATGCCACGCCCCAGTCACACCCAACATACCCACGGCAAGTGCAAATTAAAAAGGGAAACGTAAAAAGCAACGCAACTAAAAAATTTAATAAATAAAGGCATTAAGGCCAAGGTGTTGTAGTCGACTATTAAATGCCCTTTTTGCAAAATAATGTGAAGCAAACTAAAATTTTAAATTGCGATTCAAATATTTACAATAGTTATCATTTGAGTATCAAGATTTACCAATTGTTTCTCCTGTATAGGAGAAGGTATATCTACTGGCATTCTCATTCAAGCAATGTGCCTTTTCCCATAGGGTAGACGAATAAAAGTCAAATGCTTAAACTTTCGTTGACAATTCAGACAAGTAAATGCCGTACAGGCTGTGGGGCAGGCAGTCTGATGCAAGGCGTGGCTCTTAAATCCGCCTAGAGATGCGCTTAACAGCAATTATCTTCATTACGCGCCCTGCGCACAAAAGTATGCAATGGTAAACAAGAAACGCAAAAAATAAAACGAACAAAACAGACAAAACAACTGAAGACAACAGAATAAACGCGCTTTCAACGGAATAGCGACGATTTGATATCCTTGCAGCCATAAGCCTTGAACTTGTGGCAATGTATAGTTATACAGAAAAAGAAGGATATGAAATTAAAAAATTTACAAAAATTTAGCACGATTCCTGCTAAATATATATATAAATAATTGAAAATATCTACTTATACTTTTAGCATTAAAATAATTGGAATGCAAAAATGTTACATTAGAATGGGTTGATAGAATGTTATTAATTATAAATTATTTAGTTAATAGTTTTTCTATTGGTTTCTTATACTTGTGAATATATCCATAGCGCGTTAAAATAACACGAGGATCAAGCATATATATGTGTCGGTCTTTAACGTGTGAAATGTCGAATAAAGCTTTACACATTTCGTGCTGAAGTTTTATTGCCCCCAGCAAGTGTATATCAAATGAAAATGAAAAAAAGACGTGCAGTCTGACAATTAGGTGGGCAGACTCAGAGGCAAAGCCCCTTCACCTGTCCCAAGCAATGCTTTTTCTCGGCAGCAGCTCTGGGTGTACTCAGAGCATTAAGCGCTTCATATAAATGCGGCGCTGATGGATGTGTTTCGAGTGGCGCCAGAGAATAATGTCGACTCTCGACTCTCAAATCTCGACTGACGTCAGAGAATTTCCTGTTTTTGGCGTCTTTGACTTGTCGCCGTTATCAGCATTACGGTTGGTGGAGGGTGGCAGTGGAAAAGGTGTGTAGCGGAGAGTGAGGGGGGGGGGTTTGTGTAGCCGGGGGTCTAAGCGATTTATAAAAGCCAAACAGCAAATGGCGACGGCAAAAAAATAAAAGTGTTGCAAGCAATTTGCGCAATGGTGGCGAGTCCTTTGCCAATTCTTGTTGCCACAGCAGAAAGACAACAACAGACAACAACACCACCCGCTCTGACCTCCTCCCCCAGCCTCCTCCCCACCCTCCACGCTCGCAGCAAGCTTTTGCTACCGCCATTATTGAGTGCGTGCACGTAACTGACATCAGCGCGCTTATAAATCAAGTTGCAAATACTTTTGCCTGCCCATGTGCGTGTGTGTGTGTGTGTCTGCAGGTGTGTGTGCGCGTGTGTGGTGTGTATGGCAGCAACAACACAAAAAACGGGGGTCACATTCGTATATAAAACTTCATTTTAGAGTTCATGAATTTGGCAACTGGCTGCGTTGCGGGTAACTGGCACATTTTCTCGTATGATTAGATTAATGCATTGTGTAATGGTTTAAACAGTCCGCCCTCACCCCACAGCGCTGCCCCTCTGTCATTGACTGCGCATAGAACAAGCAATCGCTCACGCTTATTGCGTGTGTGTGTTCGTGTGTGTGCGTAAATCATAATTTCAATGCTTGCGTTTGGGTTAAACACTCATGTTTCATACCCTAATAAACTGTTTACACATCCATCATAATTTTTGATTACAATTTTTGAATATAAATATTCCGATAATGTCGGCATATATGCTAATAACAAACGTAAGTTGGGTAAATTGTGGATTGATGGTTGAAAGTTAACTTAATAAAATACTACGTTTCGAATCCAATTGAGCTTTTTTATATGGACTGTAAGCCAAAAGCTAATCAGTTCAAATAGCCGAACCAAAACCCGAACTAAACCATATTGGTAGATGCTAATTTAGCACATTGAACCAGATCACATTACATTTATAAAAGATTTTGAATTTGATTTTAATTGTATTAATGAAATGTGCTTTTAACTGGTCATATACATTACAAAATTCCAAGGTTTTATCTATATTTTCCATATATAATAAACATTATTGCGACAACAGTAGAAAAAAAGTTGATATTTTCGGTTAATTTGTTCTTTAAGGTACAAAAATAAGAGATATCACAGCGCCTAAGATCTAGCCTGGTGTCCAAACTAAGAACTTAATTTTTTTCTAGTTAATGTATAAAAATAATAAAAAAAAAATAAAATCACTTATATGGTTTGCCTACAAGGGATATTTCTCGAAGCTAAATAGAATTGTAACTGAAAGTTTTTGATGAAATAGATTTGAATATTTTGTAATTAAATTGAAGCGTAGGGCATGAATCAAGTCGCGTATGGTTTGGCTTGCCAAGGAATTGATAAGTGGGTTCCACCGAAACGAGTGATGCTGGTTTGGTTGCGCCAACTTGAGCACATGAGACAGTGGACAACTGAAAGGGGGTGGGGCGGGGGTCATGGGGCCAGTGCAATTTTGTTAGGCCTTATTTGAAATAAATGTAGGGAGTAGGGCTAGGTGGGCGAGAATTTGTCCTCAGATACCCAGTTGTAGATGACGCGCTGCATAAGGTACAGCATATCGTAGAACTGAACGTTCCAGACATTAATAAAAAAGAAAGCGCCCTGCATGAAGTTGAGCCCACGATACGGCTCTAGTGCAAGCAAGGGCTCTACGGCTGCACTAAGATTAATAATCATGTGATCAAATAGGCGTCTATCCTCCACGTCTCTCAGTGAGTCGAGCGGTATGAGACCGAGCTCTTTGATGACCAGTCCGCCCTTGGGTTGCATGCTGGTGCCCAGCAGCATTATAAAGTCGCAGCTGTGCTCTGCGGCAAACTGTTGGATTGCCAGCTGAGCAAACTCGAACGATATGAAACGTGTGACTGCCATCGGGAAGCAGCACTGGGCAATGCGTACTAAATGGCTGCCATTGTTGGCGCGCAGCAGTTTGAACTCGCGCCGCAGAATCTGCGGCAACGTCAGCTCATTTAGATCGAACATCGCACTGACCAGCGTGTCATATAGAATGGTGCGCTGCGGTGTATCCAGCTGTCCCAGCTGCTTCTCCAGATAGACCAAAAGCTGATAGTCGCGCACATTGGGCAGCTGCTCCGGCGTGTACTGCGCATAGTTGCTGTTTTGCAGGAGGAGTGCAGCATGGAGCAGCTCAAAGACGCGCAAACAGCGCACATTCGCATAGTTATAGATGGGGCTGTCGTAGCGTTCGGTTATTAGGGCGGCACAGGAGCGCATCGGATGCATGATGCGCTGGCAGTAGATTGGCAGACGGGCGGCCTCGCATTGATAGGGCCGATAGTCGTAGACCTCCTCGGTGCAATAGTGGAAGGGACTGACATGATGATTGACCAAAATGAAGCGACTGCGCAACAGCAGCTCCTCGGGAACATCATCGCGAAAGACCAGGTGCCTATCGGGTTTGATGTGCTGCTTGTCAAGCAGAAAGCGCACCTCCGACTTGCTGGGATAATCGCGTCGCAGCATATTTAATACGGGCATATAGTTATGCTGCAGTGTGCCAGGATTGCGATAGCGCAAATATGCAATGGCCAATGTACTAACCACCGAGTCCAGATCGCAGCTCTCGTGTGAGAGGGCGATATACATTAGCTCCGGACCGCCGGTGGGGCGCTGTAAGTGCAGCCGTGCAGCTTAGGTTGCCTTGATGTTGTGGCACGACAACGTCTACATATACATCTACTCACCCACTGGGTCAGCCGCTGTGCGTTGACCAAAAAGCTCATGAAGTCCATGCTCCACTGCTCGCGGCATCTATTCATCACAGCCCAATAGCTTTAGATTTCTAGTTTTCTCTTTTCTCAGCTGCTATATTTGTCAGATATTATTGTTGTTATTATTTGATGTTCTGTTTTCCTTTTGTTTTGCTCATTTTTTGTTTTGTTTTTGTTATTTTTTTTCTATTATTTTTTCATTACTTTAACAGCTACGACTTTTACGCACAGGTGTTACTGACAGCATAGAATGGCACATTGACACAACATAATTATTAACCGAACGTCTCGTGGGGGGTAAGCTATTTGCTGATTTGCCTAATTAATTGTGAATCTCATATTAAAATCAATATTTTAATAATGTCCGCCAATCTATCCACTATAATCTGCAATTCCCAAATTCCCTCAAAGATCAGAGCAAGACTATTATCTCTACCCACATATTGCAATCATTCATATTTTCTACCGTCACAGTATGAATGCCTTTGTTTGGGAATTGCAATTTTAGAGTCAAAACTTTTCATATTAGTATTCAGTTCTTAGCACACTGTGTATAGAATATAGCGCAGTCGGTTGCATACGAATCTAACTAACTTCTACAGACTAGAAAGTAGGCGAAGTTGAATATTACAGATTCTTGAAAGGCTAAATACAAGCAAACGATGTAGATCAGTATCAGAAGGATTAGAAACTTTATTTAGGCATCCACAGAAGGTACTTTTGGGAACCAGTTAAACGGTCAAAAAGTTTTTCCCATGAACCAATTTGCTTTATAGCTTAGCTTAGGTATTCGTGTGGTTATTTTGAACCTAGATATTAAATGTTATTCTAAGACTGAGTAAATTTGGATTTCCATCCATGTAATTCATTATATCATGTTCGTAAACTATCACAGCAGAATGAGAAAACTTTAGACTGAATGTAAGCATCTATATATTTTATCTTTAAAATGTTTGCATTAAAAATGAACGAAAAGGAAATTAATTAAAGTTTGTTTCTTTGGGGAAATCGATAAAAATATATTTTAAATATAACAGTGTTCGATAGTTCTTATCGTTATAGTGTTTACGAATTTAAAAGAAATTGGTTAAAATTGATCAACATTGCCGATGTCATAAAGTTAAAAAACGTATGCAATAATATTTAAGTTAATTTCGACTTGAAAGGTGTGTGTGATCACGTTATTGCATGTTTTCAAGTGTTGCTAAACGCGGAACGGGTTGGGGTTTTGGGCGGAGTAGGTGTAGTGCAGCGTATAGCTGCCAGAGAGCTGGTCACGACGCCGCTTTGTCTGTCAAATGTGGCCCAAATTGGCTGACTCTTCACATTTGACCTGCACACGTAACGCGTGCCCACATACTGCTAGTGTGTGTGAGCGTTTGAATTAATATGCGTGTGTCTTTGTACGTATTTGCAGTTATAGTTGCCACTCTGCTGTGGGGCAGAACGTGTGATTTATAATGCTCGCTACGTTCTGGTTTGGTAAATTACTTTTGCACACGTTGAACTTCGATAATTTTTTACGCTAAAAGTTGTGCGTTTTTATTTTATTTCCTCCTCTTGATTTGTTGTTGCTGTTATTATATTTGGCATTTATCGAGAAAAACTCAATTTTTGGCTGAACTTGAAGATGCGCGAACTTTAATAAAAAAATCGGCAAACAAGGAAGCAGCAAAAGGACACGGATCAACAAGGCATGCCATTAGGTGCTGGCTAAGTATTTTGGTTTTGTGGCTCGGGCGCAGCCAAAAGTCACTTAGACATTAGCCAAGCCAACCCAAGCCGCGCCAAGTGGGCAGCTCTGAGCCAAAAATGCTATTGCGAGTCAAATGACCTTGAGATGGCAACGCACTTATGTATTATATGTGCGTATGTATATGTATCTATATGTTATGTTATGCATGCGTTTGTGTACACACACACACACACACACATATGTATATATACTTACATATGCTGATAGTTGCTGTATGCTTGCCCATTTAAATGCTACATTATGTTGAATATTCAATTTAATGTACCTTATAAATCATGTAGATCCTTTTTCTGCTGCCCGGCAATGCCAGCAACTGCTTAACGCCTCTGCCGGCCACTGTTCCCCTCTCGTGTTTTTCTTCCCGTCTTTGCTGAGCTTTCGTTTCTTGGCTTTGGCGTTTCGTGTTTGTCACAGTTTTTGCTGAATGCTCTTAGGCACTTTCAAATACAAGTAGTTTCTTTATCATCTCGCTCAAGGGACAGTTATTTCCCTTTCTTTTTTTTCGCTCCGTTTTGTTTTATGCTCACACATATTTATAACTGCTTATCGGTTTCAAACCCAAGATTGATTAACTGCTGGTCTCCGTCCTCTGTATAACGAGCTGGCAACGCTGCCCAAGGCGTCACAACTAGCAAAGCATTTACCAACACTAACATAGAGTGTTATGAAGCACTAATCATGTTATGTTGAATCCGGTGCTACTTAATCAGCACAAACAGAAGACAATTTTAAGATGGGGTAATTAGTTCTTGAGCTAAGCCTTAAGATAAGATAAGCTTGTTTATTTTTTAAATATTCGAGCATTTCAATTTCTAGAAGTTTATTACTCAGGATCTTTATGCCATTGACGTCTTGTGTCTAGGGCTGATTTGTGATATCTGAGTAAAACCTGGTAGAACCTGTTAGAACAAATGAATATGACAAACCGACAATTGGTTTGGCGACACGCTAACATGGAAAAAATTAGTCTAACAAATTGATACACAAACGTCTGCCGAATCGAGTCTGTCATGTCGGTTAGTAAGCTGTCAGTGCAGATAATTGTTTAGTGCGACCAACTGGCACCGATTTGTAGCGGGTCTGCGACAACCGACGTGGCCCGACTCGTTGTAGTTGCTATTAAATTGAGCAAAGTTGAATAATAAAAAGCAAATATATATATATATATATATATTTCACTGGCTATTAAAATAAAGTAACAATGCAGACAACTAATTAATTTAACAATTAAAAAATTGATAAAATTGCGATTGATTGCAAAACCTTTGCGGACGTAATGCGACATCGATTGGACTAGAAATTACGTCTGAGCCAACTTTGTGTCTGCCAAAAAATAAAAATAAATAGCCATGAAGCTTGCTTACAAGTTCTTGACCTGGCTGACCGTAACTTACTGGTCCTGCTATTTACATGTGGGGCACTAAGCAGTTAGATAAGTAGGATCAATTGTATTGATATCGTTTATAGTGAAAGTGATAGTTTAAATAGTAAGACTTAAAATCAAATATAGAAATAAAGAAATTACAAAAATAGTTTTCTGATCAATATTTTCAAAATATAACAAATAAAAAGTTCTAATGAAAGACAAATGTAAACTGAAAGCCAACACATATTACATTTAAGTTTACCTTGTCTGTGCTTTAAGGAGTTTTTTTATTGTGAACTTTCTTAAGCCGCAATCGAAGTTATTTTAATTGAAAGCTACTTTAAAGAGTTCATGGAGGCGCCGAGCAATATAAGTACAGCGATATAATGCAAAAATTAATAATTTATGTGTTAAAAGCGTTAAAAAGAGAGTAAAATAATTAATTTAAATTAAATAGTCTTGGGGCATGCTCTTAATTTTCCACCGACTGATTAACCGTAACCAAGTGGTTCAGCTGCACTGAGTGTTCGGTCACACATCTTTTAACGACGGAATAAAATATAATAGATTATTAATCAAATGGTTTGATTCGTCTAGTTAATTTATATACCAATATATCTGAATATAAAAAATAACGCTCAATTGTGCGTTATGTAAATGGTGTCAAATTGAATGAAAACAGCAATAATTAATTAGCGCTGCCAGCAAATAAGTTAATTTAGATTCCTTGATTTTTTCAATTAATTAAATATTTTTACTAACCGTTTCAGCTGGAATTTAACTGTTGGCTATTTCCTGCGTGGAAGTGTAAAAAGTTTATGCAATATTTCACACTCGCTTGTGCATTAATAAATGGCTTTTGAATTGGATCTCGACTTGTATTTGTTGCATTATTGAGCACTGGCAAACATTATTCATACGCACTGTTGTGCCGGCATTTTTCTAAGTTGCCTGCGCCTGAACGCCGTTGAATAAACCAACTTTGTACGTTTCAGTAAATTCGTTGAGATGTTTGCAGATTCAAAAAACGACAAAAAAAAATATGATCACAAAAAATGCTGGCGCGTTTTTGAATTACAACTTAACAATACTGAAAGCCGTATGTCGTGTGCTGCGGCAACTATTTGTTGAGAGAGGGCCGGGCCGTGCAGGGCAGGCGTAAGACGCGTCGCGTAGCTGTTGTCGTCGTCGCCGTTGACGCCGTTGTCGAACGCACGTACCGTTTGCCACTGGGAAAGCCACTGAGAGCAGCCACTGGGGCAACAAATAGCAGCAGAGTTCAACGATAGACTGAATGGCGGCTTTGTCTGCTGGCGATGACGAGCAGCACGGAGCAGCCGCCGTGGTGAGTTTCTTGCCTGCACTCCATGCGTGAGTGTGGTGAATTGAGCGGCGGCGTGCGAGAGAGCGACCTTGGCAAAAGCCATGCTCTTTGCCAGCTGTTGATTTGCAGCACTTTTCTCTTCGTCCTCGATGCGAGGCGCTAATCGCTTCAGCTTGAAGCCAGAATCGGTTACACTGAATCTGTCTCATAATTGATATGCGTTGTGGGTGGTGTGAGGAATGGTGAGGGAGAGCGGGAGGGTGGGAAGAGGCGGCAGTGCGGGGCATACACGTGCAAGTGTCAGTCCAACGTCCTGTCCCCGTGTATCCCTTATCACTACTTTTGGTGAGTGTTTCCAGGCGCAGCTCCTGTGCATGCTATACTAAAGCAACTGTTGCAAATGGCACTGGAAATGGAATATTCGACGCTGCGGCTGCTCCAGTCACATTGGTGGTGCTGAGAAGCTTTATAAAGATTGAAGTGCTTAACTCTCATAAGCTAGCTTCGAGCGACATTACATCGCACTGCAGTTCTAATTAAGAACAAACATTCTGGCAAAATTTCTACGCAACCTTTTGTATTGAAATCTGAAATTAGGGCCTTCCTATTGCTTTAAAATGTGTGCATATACGAAAAAAAAACTAAACATTGGCATAACTGCAATCATTTTTGCGACCATCACAGGGTATAAGAGTTAGCAACCCATTTCAATGGAACTTGTTAAACTTGCCAAGTATTTATCATTGTCATTAGAACTTAAATGTCACTTGCATATTTAGAATATATTACATTAATATATGAACAAGGAAGCTTAAGAATAATATAAATACATTGTTTTTAATTATTATCTTGAGTATAACGTTTAACCACAAATTATGCAAGCGATTATAAAATTAAAATAAACCGCAAATGAAGCATATGAAAGTCAACTTTACTTAAGAGAACTTATTAAAGCCACAATAAATAAATATGTTTGTTTAGTGACCGCGGAGCAAGCATGCTTGAAGAACTCAAATTAATTTGCAGCTGTTATATAAATATATTTACTTATTAATATTTATATGTAAATGCCCATATGACATAATAATCATTATTATTGGAGTAGGCAAACACAGACAATTGTCTGAAATTTAACTACAACTGGCTGCCCCATCAAAATCCATTTAGCTATGATTAATGGATTTGCTGTCGTTATATTCATTACTGCACAATAATTACACTTTAGTTTTTAATGAGCCAACTCATTCTCGGCGCATGAGCATACGTTTTGCCAACACAAGTGACCGAAAATTTGACACTTACTGCAAACAGCTGTATGTGGCAGGTCCAAGAAACCGAGGCAAGGCGCTAGTTTGCTAATTGGCTGACAAGAACGGGAGCACATGAAAACAACAGATTTGTGGTTATTGTTCTTATAAATCTTTCGAAGGTACAATACACACTGCTGTGATTATTAACTAATTATTTAATTTGATTTTAAGCTTTCTTGAAATGGTGAGATATTAGAATTTTCAAGACTTATTAACACAACTCATTAAAATCGAGCCAATTGTAAAAATAGTTGCTCAAAACGAGATTTCATTTGATTCGATTAATTTGATGAATTTGATATAAATCGGTTTCAAGAAAATCGATACTTATCGATTTTAAACGAATCGATATTTATCATCATATCAACATCGATATTAATGCATTTTTTAATTAGATTTGTAAAATATAATTGATACTTGTCAAGCAATGATAATATTCTAATGTGTCGATTTTAGGATATCGATATGTATTTTGTAAATTTGATTTCATCAAAATATGAAATGATGTTCCACATTCTCGGTAATAGGTTATACGACCCTCGGCGAGTGCAAATAAACTAACATAATTGCAAAAAGATTTGCGTATGTATTTTGAGTTTAATTATAATAATTATTGTCCTGGGACTAATGCCTAACAATGTAAATTGTGCTCAAGGGCGGCTGCATTTGCTGCTTACAAGATGAAATTTCCGTCGTGCTTTATCTCGATGCGCTTTGCCGTCTGCCTGTCCTAACCAGACCAGAACCAGACCAGGAACCGCTCAGTTTCCCCCCACCACGGCAGGCGACTTAATTGAGAAAGAGATTTGATTAATTTGCATGCCATAAACAATTTTCAATTTGTTTATGTGCTCAAAGTGAAGCCTGGCTCGTAATTAAAGCAAAGCTGCTGCAGCTCCAGCAACGCACACTCAGCAGCTAACCCAGACAGTCGCCTCGCTCGGCCCTCGAACCCTCGGGCACCCGAATCGTCGCCCGTAATCATGCAAATGAATTTTTCACTGTGGCACAGGAAAATAAAAAAAAATAGAAAAGGAAATGTCGCCAAGGTAAGCAGATTAAAACGCCTTTGACTTGGCAATGTGCAGCAATCTAGACGCTCATCTAGTCCTTGCATGCAAATGAATGCGCGTTGCATGCAACAACAGCCGCAGCAGCAACGAGCGTTGTCTGAATGTGTACGTCTGTGTGTGTGTGTGCGTGTGTGTGTGCGTAATACATGTTTATCCAATGCATTTATGTGCAAACAATTACGCGTTCATTTTTGCGACTTTTGAGTGGCACACCCACACTTACACACACGCACGCACACTTTGATTACAATGGCCGCCGCGACAGCGACAATGGCAGCTAAAATGGCGGCAGCGACTGCTTTGAGGTTGATGAAACGTTTGCCTACGATTGCTGCCAACTGCTTTTGGCTTTGTTTTGTTCTATTTGGCTGGGTTCGGTTTGGTTTGGTTCTGTTGTGATTACGTTCTGTATATTCATATGCATAATATCCTTGACCCGTTTGCGTGTCTTGCGCTTTTGTGCGTGCCAGGAAGTTAAACAGGCAAAGGCCTAGCCATTGGCAGGCAGAGCGTGCCTGCAGCCGGGCCACACTACTCGCATATTTTACATAAAACACGTACACACACACGCCCACGGATACCCACACAGGTCTTATGCCCATTTGATATGCAAACAATCCATGCAGTTAACGACTTTCACATAAATATTGAGAAATCTTAAAGCTCGCCTGAGCCCAAGCACAACACAGCAAGCAAAATACAGCTAAACAAAACAGAAGCATTCCTTAAAGCAAAAGACACGATGAGAGGGCGGATTAAACGCTCTCAAAGCAGAACCAAAGTAATTAAAGTTGAAGCTGACATGAAAAAGGCAAAATATAAAACATAGTGTCAAGCCAGGCCATGAACTTATGCTTACTTTAATTAAAATCAAGCATTTATGTAATTAAATGTCTGCTTTCTTAGACTCTAGAATTTCTTTTTATTAGGAAGCACAACAAATTCGAATTAAAGAGCAGCGTGAAGCTCAGAAAGCACATCGTGGACACAAATTAAAACTTAAAAACTTACAAGTTTTTGTGGAAGCTCGTCTAAGTCTACCCTAATCTAGTTGACTAACGGGGCTGTTATTATTATTAACAATATTGATTGATACTAATTGCGAATCATAATGCATTAATCAATTAAAATGCGTAAATTGCGTATTCAACTAAACGTCAATTAAAATTACTCTTTTTTAATAAATATCAAATTATTTTTAGTTAAAATTAAAGCTAAAATTCTTAATTGCTTAATAGACCCACCATCAAATAGAATGACAATTTCTTATTCTTATATTGTAAAATTTAAAACAACTCTAATGTACAACCAAAGTGCATAAGAAACCGTGACCAAAAATGAAGTACTAATGGTAATTGGTTTAGTCGCGAATAAGTAATGTGAGCTGGCAATCTATGAAGAGCATTTAAAATTTTACCAAATTTCCAAAGCATGATTTGTATCTATTTGAATGGATGATTTTTGATTTGTTGAGGCATGGTATGGGTTGCAATTGTATAAGGCCATAAACAATTTACGGTCTGTTTGCTTAGCCTTCTGTTGCCAATTTCAAGTTCATTGGCTAACCAAAGTGAAAGCTGGAGCTCGGTCTATGCCTTCTAAGTGGCAGCAATGTGGGAACAGTTCGTTAAGTTTTGTTGATTTGCCTGGCAATAAAATTGGTCACACCCACCCATCTGGGCATGCCGTAAGTAGGAGTCGTGTCATCGACACGCTGAGGTGAAAGACAAACAACTTGATGCCAAGTTGTTAACAAAGTGCTGCCATGACCTAAACGACCTCCTCCGACAAGGACCTTCGGCAGCTTCTGCCTGTCTATGCAAAACGCAAACAGAGCCAGCGACTTCTTGCAGAAATATGCTGTTGGCTACCTTGGCAAGACAATTGACTGGAAAATGTTGTTAATGAACTTTGTGCGACATTTTGATTAGCTGTCAGTTGTTGGCTGCAGGGCTGGTAATGTCTGCCCCCCTTGCACTCCGATAGCTACTCCAGCGATCCTGTCCTGTCTGTCCCATTTAGGGTCAACAAGTGTCGAGCGCCGCAATGATGGATGTCAAAGTTGTTCGGTCGCCAAGCAACTTGACACACATTTTTTATTG